TACAGACGTTGGGGCTATTTCAACCAAGGGCTCTCATATTCCTAACACTTGGAGCTTCCTCATGTAAGCATTAAAATGCTTAGCAGGGAGACGGTGCTGTGGCATAGTGGGTAAAACTGCTGCCTGCAGTGCCAGCATCCCATAGGGCGCCGGTTTGAGACTTGGCTGCTCCACTTCCAATCCAGCTCTCTGTTATGGCCTGGGAAAGCACTAGAAGATGGCTCAAATGCTTGGGCCCCTGCACCCGTGTGGGAGACCTGGAGGAAGTTCCTGGCTCCTGGCTTCAGATGGGCCCAGCTCAGGCCACTGCAGCCATTTGAGGAGTGAACCAGCAGATGGAAGATCTCTCTCTCTCTGCCTCTCTGTAACTCTGCCTTTCAAAAAATAAATAAATCTTTTTAAAAAGAAATGCTTAGCAGGATCTGAAATTTTATTTCCCTCTTATTCTATACCATGGGTCTCACGTGCATGTGTGTGAGAGAGACAGAGGGAGAAAGAAAGAGAAAGGGGGTTGTTGGGGGTAAGGATGGAGTATAAAAGAATAACTTATTGCCTATTGACAGATATTAATTGGTCTAACAAGTGCCAGGCACTTTACAAGATGCTGAGAAGATTCAACAGAGAGGAAGATGGGTCCCTGCCCTCACAGAGCTTATACTTTATAAGAATTATTGTAGGGTCCAGTGGTGTGGCATACCAGGTAACGCCACCGTCTGCAGTGCTGGCATTAAATATAGGAGCCAGTTTGTGTCCTGACTGCTGCACTTCTGATCCAGCTCCCTGCTAATGGCCTAGGATAACCAGTGGAAGATGGCCCAAGAGCTTAGGTCCCTGCTACCCACATGGGAGACCTGGAAGAAGTTCCTAGTTCCTGGCTTGGGCCTGGCCCAGCCCTGGCCATTGTGGCCATTGGGGAGTGAACCAGCAGATTGAAGAGCTCTTTGTCTCTCCCTCTCTAACTCTAATTTTCAAATAAATAAATCTTTAAAAAAAAAAAGAATTATTGTGGTAGACATAGGCAGAGAACCTTCCTTCCTTAATCTTCCCTTTCTTCCTTTACTGATTCATTCATTTAATAAATACTTGGGAGTCAGATCTCATCCTAGTCCAGTTAATCATTAACTATGAGGAAACTTCAACAAGTTTGTGGAAAATGGAATGGAAAGACAAGCTTCTTTTCACTTTTATTTATTTTTATTTTGGTGCAAAAAAAAAGTTGAAATTTATACATACTTGAGATCTTTACAAAGTTCATGAGAAATGCATATTATGAAAAACTTATGCATTAGTTGGAAAAACTTTTTTTTTTTTTTTTTTTTTGACAGGCAGAGTGGAGAGAGAGAGAGAAAGGTCTTCCTTTGCCGTTGGTTCACCCTCCAATGGCTGCTGCGGCCAGCACACCGTGCTGATCCGAAGCTAGGAGCCAGGTACTTCTCCTGGTCTCCCACGCGGTACAGGGCCCAAGGACCTGGGCCATCCTCCACTGCACTCCCGGGCCACAGCAGAGAGCTGGACTGGAAGAGGAGCAACCAGAACAGAATCTGGCTCCCCGACTGGGACTAGAACCCGGTGTGCCGGCGTCGCAGGCGGAGGATTAGCCTAGTGAGCCGTGGTGCTGGCCAGTTGGAAAAACTTTTTGCACCAAAATAAACTTACCTTTAAAAAATTTTTAAATTTGGGGCTGGCACTTTGGTGTAGTAGGCTAAGCCGCTGCTTATAGCACTGGCACTCATATGGGCGCCAGTTAGTGTCCTGGCCGCTCCTTTTCTGATCTAGCTCTCTGATTATGACCTGAGAAAGCAGTGGAAGAAGATGGCCCAGATGCTTGGGCCACTGCACTTGTGTGGAACCCTGGAAGAAGCTCCTGGCTCCAGATCAGCTCAGCTCCAGCCACTGTGACCATTCGGGGAGTGAAACAGTGGATGGAAGACCTTTCTCTCTCTGTCTGTAATTCGACCTCTCAAATAAATAAATAAATAAAATCTTTTTAAAAATTTTAAAATTAATGTATTTGAGCACCAGAGAAAGACAGACAGACAAACAGAGAATTCCCATCTGCTGGTTCGCTTCCTAAATACCCTCAAAAGCTGGGGCTGGACCAGGCCTGAAACTACATCCAAGTCTCCCACATGGGTGGCAGGAACTCAATTACTTAAGCCATCACCTCTGTCTCCTAGGGTCTGCACTGGCAGGAAGGTGGAGTCAGGAACAGAACTTGGGGACCCAACCCAGGCACTTAAGTGGGACACGAGCATCCTAACCCCTGGGTCAAAAGCCAATCCATATCTTTCAATCACATTTTCCATGAACTTATCAAACTACTCTGATATTGCCACCTTGGGCAAATTTCTTAACCTCTAACGCCTCCAAAATGGAGATAAGAGCAGAGCCCACTTGCAAGATAAGCCCTAAAACATGGAAAGGAACAGCCTGGAGAAACACAAGGGTACTTTTAAAAATCTGGAGAAAATGGAAATTAAAGATAAGAGCATTTTGATATAAAAATTGAAATCCAAGCATAGTTTTTTCATAAGACACATTTTCCATGAACTTTTTGAAGACTCCTCATAACTAGGAGACTGAATTAAAGCATCAATCTGGCCTGCAGCCTGCTGGCCTGGAAATCTGAGGATGATGGATAAGGAGTCTGTGCAGATCTGAGTGCGCTATGTTCTCTTCCTGTCATTGGAGAGTCCTTCCTGCATCTCTGAGGGCAATGGGCTGGGTGCACCTCGGGGCAGTGCACGTTGGTTTACGCTGGGCTCAGAGGAGCGTCCTTAGCACCCACTCCTGTCTGTAGGATGCCAGAAAGACTGCTGGGGCTCTGGAGGCTGACTCTCCCTGGAAAACATCACTGAGACCTCGCTCTGTGTCCTGACTACCTGACATCCTTCTGCATCTTCTAGATAATTAGATTTTTTTTCAAGTACCTACTGTTGATTTTTTCCCTAAGTGATTGGACTCATGGGCTTGATGAGGAAATTCGGTGAGCTCACAAATCGAGAGCTTAGTGCAATGCCTGGCACAGAGCTAGAGCTTAATAAATGTTAGTTATGCTTGTCCTAATGCACTCCCAGGCACGTGCAGATGCTGGGAATGCCTTTGTGTGCGCGCACACAGACATGTTCTGCGAAGGTCAGTCGATGCAAAGTGGCAGTCAGTGTTCCCGCAGCAGCAAAGGCAATGTCTGGAGGCTTTAGAACACTTTCAGGCTGAAGGGCTTTTCAGTACTTTTTTTTTAAGATTTATTTTATGTATTTGGAAGGCAGAGTTACAGAGAGAGAGAGAGAGAGAGAGAGAGAGAATGATCCATCTACTGGTTCACTTCCCAAATGGCTGCAAAAGCCAGGGCTGGACCAGGTCAAAGCCAGGAACCTGGAACTCCATCCAGGTTTCCCATGTGGGTGGCAGGAGCCCAAGCACTTGGGCCATCTTCCACTGCTTTCTCAGGGAGCTGGATCAGATGTGGAGCAGCTGGGACTCGAACCAGCACTCACATGGGATGCCAGCATCACAGGTGGCAGCTTAACTGCTCTAACACAATGCTGGCCTGATTTTTGTACTTTAAAATAGAACTCGTGCTTCTCTGTCTTCCTTTAAAGCACAGGGACAGAGGAGTTTTTCCTGGATGCTTGGGTATTTGGCTTAGCTTATTTCCAGACAAAAGGAAGGATGTTTCTTATGTGTAAGATAGGAATATTCCACACCCTTCCTCCGAAGGCTCCCGTGAGAAGGGGTCGTGCACACAAAGCATTTTGCACAGGGTCTGGCACATGCAGAAAGCTGAATAAATAGGAGCTGTGACTATCATGGTTCATTTTATGGGGTAAGAGAGAAGGGCTGGTCGCAGTGACAGCACAGGTATGGAAGGCAGGAAGGGCAGGGCCTGAATCCTAACCTCTCTTCCTAGCAGGGGGATCCTGGGCAGGTTGATTTACTTCTCTGAGCCTCAGTCTCCCCATCTGCAAATGGTCCATTCATGTGCCCAAGTCTCATGATGCTGCATCATCAGTAAACGAGGGAGGGGCTCGGCACGCCTGGAAGTCGTGGGGTTCCTGCAGCTGCTAGTGCAGCCGGGTCGGGAACTGGCAGTCAATTTTGGGGAATTCTCCAGCCAGGTAGTCGTTTAACCCTCTGTTATTGTTGTGTTTTTAGTTTGCTCTCACTGTGTGTCTGCCAGAGGCAAGTTTTTAAAATTACAGTTCGTCTAGAAACACTACTTGTGATTCCTCAGCAGTGCTGAACTCCATAGAGAACGGACATTCAACACCCGTGACTCTGAGGTTGCCAACGATTCCAGGAGAGACATATTATTTTCTCACAGTTTACAAATGAGGACATTGAAGCTCAGATGCCTAAGTACATGCCTAAGCTCACCCAATTAAAAAAATATTTATACATTTATTTGCAGGTAGGGAAAGGAATAGAGGAATCTCCCAACCACTGGTTCACTCCTCAAATGCTGGCAACAGCTGGGCTGTGAAGCCAGGCGACTGGAATTCAATCCTGTGTGGGTGGCAGGGACACAACTACTTGAGCCATCATCCAGGGTGCATTAGCAGGAAGCTGGAATCAGGAGCAGAACTGCGGGATCCAACCCAGGCACTCCCATATGGTATGCGTGGGTTCCAAGTGACATCTTAACCACCACCTGTTTGCTTTTTTAGCTTAGGTATATCTGAGCCATACCAAGTGCTCCTAGGGACCCCAGAGCAGAGGACTGTCTCAGGGTCTCTCCCTCTTGCTCTCTCTTTTGTCATCCTTCTCCAGCAGTTAACACACAAAAATAATCTTGGTCTTTTGAGTCAGATTGGCCTCAACTCCAGAGTCTTGCTTAACACGGGAGATAACAATACCTGCTATTCTAGAAGGCGTGACAATGAAATGAGCTTATTAGTATCATTTTAACATACATGAGGCTTTTATCCCAGGGCCCGGCACACAGGAAGTGTCCACCGCTGGCACAGCCCCTCCTCCGACCTCTGCCCCACAGCACTCACATGAACCTGAGCTCCGACTCCCGCCGGACCAAGACTTCCCGGAGACGCTGGATCTTCGCCATCTCCAACTCAATCTCCTCCGGCATCATGGTTGTCTCTGCCATGGAGATGATGTCCAGCTGACCTGTGCAGGGGACACGAGACGCGGGCGTCAGGACTGTGAGGCTGCACGGGTTTCCAGGAACCCCCAGGAGACAGAAGCCATCAGCGATCCAGGGAGGAGCCTTGCCCCTGCAACCCTGGCCCACACGGCGGGGACCCACAGGCCTCAGCCTGTCTGGCAAGTGTGTGTGTGTGTGTGTGTGTGTGTGTGTGTGTGTGTGTGTGTGTGAAGAATGGTTTGTTTCCAGCAAAAGCTCACTCGGGGTCTTGTTTCCCAGGCTTAGGGTTTTAGCGGGAATGAATGTGTTTCTCGCGCGAGGAAGCTGTCCTCACGCGAGTTCTCAAGTTCTCGTGAGACGGAACTAGTTCCCGCGAGAGTGGGTTGTCGGCCCACAAGTTCTCAGTGGAAATTGCTCGCGCTTGTACTTTAGCTTTACTCCGCCATGTTGTAACCCTGCGGAAGTCGCTTGACAGTGCGGTCTCCTGGTTCTGAACTTCCCAGCTTTCAAACCCGTGAGCCAAAATAAAGCCTCTGTAATTATTTTTTTTAAACAAATTCTCCAGTGCTGAGTGTTATGATATAGCAACAGAAGCAGGACTAAGTCACATGGGAATCCTATTTTGCTGGCAAGCTGAGGCCCACAGCGGCCCTCAAAACCAGCTTAAGATAGTGGCAGTGTCAGCCTGGCCTCAATTTCTGAACTTCTCCTTGCCCGATATCCCCCCTCAGCCACGGCCACTTCGCCCTGTCCTAGCACCCAAGAATGAGGCTGACTCTAAGCCAAAGAAAGTTTGTAATAAGTATCTTGTGGTGACACTAAGTAATAGTAACACAAAGTAATACAAGTTTGTTGTAAAAAAATTCACAGCATGCAGGTAGGCAAAAAGAACGAAGTAAAAAAGTCCCTGAGAACTGTGTAACATTTTGATGGACAATTATATATATTGCCACTTATATAAGACCATACATAAAATTAGCATATATAGACATAAACCATATGGCCATTTATATAGAAAGACACCACATACACATATGTCTATCTGTATGTGTGTGTATGAGACAAAGTATTAGTTCTTTAGGCTGCCATGTCAATACCATAGGTTATTTCACAGCAATTGATGTAAACACACATATTTTTTAGAACTCTGAAAAAAATTGACACCAAGATGTGAGTAGATTATATAGAGCTATATAATTATATAGATATTATTGCAATGGAAAGTTAGAGTTTTTTTTTTTTTTTTTTTTTTTGGACAGGCAGAGTGGACAGTGAGAGAGAGAGAGACAGAGAGAAAGATCTTCCTTTTGCCATTGGTTCACCCTCCAATGGCCGCCGCGGCCAGCTGCTGCGGCTGGCGCATCGGGCTGATCCAATGGCAGGAGCCAGGTGCTTCTCCTGGTCTCCCATGGGTTGCAGGGCCCAAGCACTTGGGCCATCCTCCACTGCACTCCCTGGCCACAGCAGAGAGCTGGCCTGGAAGAGGGGCAACCGGGACAGAATCCGGTGCCCCGACCGGGACTAGAACCCGGTGTGCTGGCGCCGCAAGGCGGAGGATTAGCCTATTGAGCCACAGCGCCGGCGAAAGTTAGAGTTTTGCTAACTCCTTCCACACCCACCATGAAGGCTGGGCCCCGCTCAGCGCCTCAGTTCTCTCCTGCCTTGGTGTTTCCCTTATACCCAAGTCTGTGATCTGGAAAGCTGCCTTCTGTCCACAGGTCTGTCTTCTTGCTACACCGGGAGCCCTCGCTCTGCCCATCTGTGTAGGAGTTTGGGTATTGTGACTTGCAGACTTCCCTGAAGTCAACTGTTGCCTGCCTGGATCTTGGGAGAATGCCACCTCCCAGAAGCCTGCCACTGTGTGACTCTCCTGACCCTGGTTTCTTCAGTAGACCTCAGATTTTTGGTGAGTTGACAACCCCCAACACATCCATTCTATGTCCTGGAATTTCTTGTCTTCCCTCCACTATTCAAAACTTAGTTTTCTGGAAAGCCCGGAGAATGGCAATTCCCTGTGGTTGGTTCCCGCATTGAAATGAATGGTCTTCATTCTCTGAGATGATTCCTCATTGGAAGAGAAGAAATGACAAAGGCAGTGGAAAAGGCCTGGCAGTTACTTGGAGCGATTTGGCATGGTGGTTATAGAGATTTCCTCCCCTTTGTGGTTCAGCCTCTCACTCCCAGCAGTGTCTGCTTCTCTGTTTTCAGAGAGCTTCAGGATTTCATAGCATAGATTGTGCATAACCTGGTGTTGAATTGCAAAGGGACCATTGAACAATTGTCTAGAAGGCAGGAAGAGAGGGGAAGTGGATGAGAGGGAAAACTGTGACATTGGAGACATTAACAGTTACCATATCCCTGCCCTTTAAGGCTGGCAAGTCCTGACGATGATCCTGCGATCTTGTGGAGCTGGTGTGTTGGATGAGGCTGAAAAGGAAGGGAGGGGAGAATGGTGTGGTGGAATGAGAAGGCCATGCCAAGGTGGCCACTGGCAAGCGAGTGTCAGTTACTCAGGAATGGCTTTGAAACCCACCTGGAAACGGAGAATGGGAGGGAGAGAAGTCAGAGTTGTCTCAGGCTTGACTTGGGAAAAGGAAGGAATGTGTACAGAGGATTTATAAGAAATTTTTCATGTGAAGTGCTGAGTAAATATCTCACTGGGTTAGGCTTCAGAGCTGCTGGGATTGGATTTGGGGTTCTGTTGACCCTGACACTATGCTGAGATGGCTCTTGGGTTTGAAGCTTGAAAAAAGGATGGGTAAGATAACGATGTGAATATTAATTGAGCATTACTGTGTGCCAGCTCCAACCGGGCTAGCTCTGGGAACAGGGCAGTTTAAGGCTGTAGAAACCTAGGAATGGGTGGCAGGGTGGGTGTTCTTGAATCAGATGGCCTGGGTTTCAGTCCTATGTGTGCTTCTTGTTACCCGCATGGCCTTGAGGGGTTTACTAGCCTCACTGGCTCAGTTTCCCCCTAACAAGAGAACAGAGAGCCTACCAGTAGGGCAGCTGTGAGAAATGAATGAAGCGAGGCATTGCCATGCTCCATCTATGGTGATGAGATGACTCTTGCTTCAGCCAAGGTAGCTGCTCCGCTCCACTACCTCACGTAAACCTCACCACAGTCAGAGGCGATGATCTCTGTTTGTTGTTGTTTAACAAATAAACAAAGTCTTGGCCAGCGCCGTGGCTCACTAGGCTAATCCTCTGCCTGCGGCGCCGGCACACCGGGTTCTAGTCCCGGTCGGAGTGCCGGATTCTGTCCCGGTTGCCCCTCTTCCAGGCCAGCTCTCTGCTGTGGCCCGGGAGTGCAGTGGAGGATGGCCCAAGTACTTGGGCCCTGCACCCCATGGGAGACCAGGAGAAGCACCTGGCTCCTGCCATTGGATCAGCGCGATGCACCGGCCGCAGCACGCTGGGCGCGGCGGCCATTGGAGGGTGAACCAACGGCAAAAAGGAAGACCTTTCTCTCTGTCTCTCTCTCTCACTGTCCACTCTGCCTGTCAAAAAATAAAAAAATAATAATAATAAATAAAAAGAAAACAAATAAACAAGTCTTAAAGCTGGTGTGGGAAAGAACCGAGCCCACTTGTGCCTCCAAATTTATGCTCTGCCCCATCACGGCTGCCTATTGTCCATACAGGTATTGTAGATGGATACCTCTATTCCTTCACATCTGGGAGTCAAAGGTGTCCCAAGCTGGCAGGGTTAAAACAACAGGGATTTATTCTCTTGCAAATCTTTGGACCAGAGGTTCCAAATAGAGGTGTTGGCAGACCCCCCTCCCCTCCACAGACTCTGGGGGAGGATCCTTCCTCATCCCCTCCAGCTTCTGGTGGTGCCTAGCGGGTCCTTGGCTCCTAGTAGCATCTTTCTAACTTCTGCTTCCATCTTGCTATGGCTACCTCTGTGTGGTTCTGTGTGTCTTCTCTGTCCCCTTTGATTTAGGGCCCACCCAAATCAATTGGGATCTCATCTTAATCCTTATCTTAATACTCTCTGCAAAGACTATTTCCAAATGAGGTCACAGTCTGAGGTTCTGTGAGAGATGAATTTTAGGACACCAAGCACTACAGATGGCCCTCGGCAATGATCTCTCAACTTTACAGTGGTGCAAGAACAATACACTTTTAGTAGAAACTGTGTTTTTAATTTGGATCCTTCCTGGTGGTATGATGCTATCTTTTTTCTTTTTTAAGATTTATTTATTTATTTGAAAGAGTTACAGAGAGGCAGAGACAGAGAGAGATCTTCCATCTGCTGGTTCACTCCCCAGATGGCCACAATAGCCAGAGCTACGCTGATCTGAAGCCAGGAGCCAGGAGCATCTTCTGGGTCTCCCACATGGGTGCAGGGGCAAAACAACTTGGGCCATCTTCTACTGCTTTCCCAGGCCATAGCAGAGAGCTGGATTGGAAGTGGAACAGCCGGGTCTTGAACCAGCGCCTATATGGGATGCTGGCACTGCAGGCCAGGGCATTAACCCACTGTGCCACAGTGCCGGCCTGGTATGATGCTATCTTGATACTGCCCAGTCAGCCTATGATCATGGGGGTGAATGACAGACATTCCACAGTGTGCTGTGCTGCTGAACTAGGTGTGTCAATGGATTAGATATATTCAAGTGTGCTTTGACTTAACGACATTTTCTCTTTTGAAAGATTTATGTATTTATTTATTTGAAATAGAGAGAGAGAAGGAAAGAGGGAGGGAGGAAGGGAGAGAGGGAGGGAGGTGGGAGGGAGAGAGAGAAAGAAATCTTCCATCTGCTGGTTTACTTCCCAAATGACTGCAGTGGTTAAAGCCTGGACCAGACTCATTAGCAGGAAGTTGGAAGTAGAGCGGTTGGGAATCAAACTGGCACCTATATGGGTTGCTGGCATTGCAGGTGGCAGTGTAATCCACTGCAACACCTAACTTATGATATTTTCAAGTTAAAATGGATTTAATGGTAACCCCATCGTAAGTCAAGGGGCACCTGCACAATGATGAATAGCCAAAGACTTCAAGCCCCGACAGTGGGATTCAATGGTTACATTGTGCTGGAAGCTTTACATGTATTATCTTACTTAATCGCTGCTTCACAGAGGATGACTATGAGACTTAGACAAAGGAGGTGGGGGTGAGTGTTTGGTACAATGGTTAAGATGCTGCTTAGGATGCCAGTATCCCTTATCAGAGTGCCTGATTCTAGTTCTGGCTACTCTGCTTCCAATCCAACTTCCTGGTAATGCTTACCCTGGCAGGCAGCAGGTGATGGATCAAGCATTTGGGTCCCATGCGGGAGACCTGGATCAAGTTTTGGCCTCCTGGTTTTGGTGTGGCCCAGCCTGGCTATTGGATATCAGTGGATGAAAGATTCATATTATCTCTTTCGTTTTCAACTAAAATGAAAGTAAATACATAAATTTTTAAAAGAAAACAGGAAGTGACTTGCCCCATATCACACAACCAGAACATTACAGAGATAGAACTTAAACCCAACTCACTCACTCGCTGTCTCCCTCCCTCTCCTTAGCCACATGTGTCTACCACCTTATGCAGCCTCCTGGTGAGAGTTCAACACATTTGTGAATGTGAACGTGTGTAGTTAATCACCCCGCAATATAAGTATCTTAATTTCTCACATCACAGTTCAGTTGGGCAACCTGATTTTCATGGGACAGATGCTGAAAATGGCAACACACTCTGGGGCGAGGCGTGGGACCAAGAAAATTCATCACACCCCACGAATTGGCATTTTACCTCCACCCTCGGGGGAGGACGGAGGCAGCAGCTGCCAGGCTCCAGGTGCTGAGATGAACATTCAGCTTCGAGTTGGGGAAGAAAATAGGGCTGGGACCTCTGTTGAAAATTCTTGCCCAAGGATGCTGTCCTTCCCCTAGAGGAAGGAGCAAAGTCTAGATCTCAGGTCACCCATGACATCGTTAGACCTCTTTCCTGTGGTGAGCACTCTGTGCTGGGCTCACCGTAAGCCTCATCTCATTTCTTTTTAACAACTCCCTCAGCTGAGGCTTGACAAGCCACAGCCAGTGGGCCAGACCCAGCCCTGGGCCTGGTATCAGAAGCGAAGTTTTACTGGAACACTGACTGAGCGCTTTCATTTATGTAATATTTATGGCTGCTTTTGCACTCCAGCAGCAGAACTGAGTAGCTGCGCCAGAGACTGTGGCCCACAGGGCTTCAAATATTTACCACCTGCCCCTTTATGAAGTTTTCCAGCTAGCTGTCACCCTAAGTGGTAGCTACCTTAATTGCTCCACTTCACAGGTCCAGAAGCCCAAAGTTGCCCAGTAACAATAAAAGCTAACATCCATTCAGCACTTACCACATGCCAAAGTCTGTGCATCACTTTATTTGATTCTTGAAACAGACCTAGATATTCTGTGCTGTTACCCCATTTCACAGATGATTAACTTGAGGCTAAAGAAAAGGAAAGTGTTGGAGTGCGATTTAAAATAAGAACTATCCTCCTCCAAAGCCCTTGTTGTAATCATACTCACTTTAAAATTATCTTCCTACTTAAAAAATAGCATAATTATCACAACAAAGAAAGCTGAATGCAAACTGAGCAGTCCTAATCAAAAATCCAAAACCTCACTTGCTCAGAAATCCTGATTTCAGATTAGGGATGTTCCAGTAAAGTCTGTGCAAATGTTCCAAAATCTGAAAAACTCCAAAATCGCAAGCATTCCTGCTCCCGAGCATGTCAGAAAAGGGATAGTCAACCTGTATATTATATTGCTTTGGGGACATGAGGAGTGGTGTTCTTTAATGTTAGTGGGCAGGGGATCATCTCGGAAGGCTGTTTAAAGAGTAACCCCCTGGCCTTTCCTTCAGGGATTAAGAGAACCCTGGACTGGAGACCATGCCCAGGGAGCTTCAACAAGGGCATCTTTAGACCAG